TACTATTAAATAGAAGATGGCGCGTCTCACCGGTGATTCTAGAGGACATACTAGTGGAGTATACTATCAATAGAAGTGCTGTTATAATAACATATGTCTCGTAGAGGGTGGGCTGATCATACCACTCACTAACAGCTTTGTATCGACCGCGCTTGAGATGTTAACGAATGCAATAAACTACAGCCTGATAAAATGCGATTGTCGTTGCATAGAATAAGAATACTAGTACCGATAATAACTAATATTACAATCAACTCGATTAAAAAAACAGCTCTAACAAATATGAATAATATCCTTAATTCAACCCTTCTCAAATGCGTCAGATGACCATAGCGTGTCATTGTTTACACGCGTGCGCAGGTCGTCACCTCCCGCTTTAAGATCGTTGTATCTGTTGTTGTAATATCGGTGCTGAAATGCTACTAATCGCTGTCAGAATGTATAAAGTTCAATTAAAATGAATTTCCTAACTGTTAGCAGATACAATGGTTTTCTAGCCTCCGACTGGTTTGCCAAAAGTGTCCCTTGCAGTGGACCAGACATTTCATGAAGATAAAAGTATAAACCTATATATTGGTAATATGAAACAGTTTTCAGTTTTGTCTTCGAAATACCCGGCACTTTTGAAAATTTGCTCAGCGACCAACCGGACCTTGCGAATCTCAATTATATCAACAGCACAGTGCCTTCGAATTATCGGTACAATACATTAGCGGTTCTTTTCTGATTTGTTGTCAGTATAGAGTTTATTTAATCATATGCCAGCAAATTTGGAACTTTTGATACAGTCGTCGCACACGGCGCGCGCCCAAATTTCGTATTAACAAACAAACAAACAGCTTGATGGGTGTATTCTACACACGTTGTCACTTCCGTCACATGGGATTCATGTCGATCGATCGTGACGCGGAGCCAAGAATGTGACGCTTTAACTAAATTTCCATTTATTTGGCGGAAACTCTAAACAGACGAACTACATGCATAGCAACTCTACTGTGTATCGTGTGGGTTCTATAACGCGGGTTGATTTAGACGTCTTTTGTTTATGAATGACGTTCTGGGTAAGGCTAACTTTACTCTTCAATCCATCGCACGCTTTATCACGTAGAATCCAACATGCATTCAGTAGGTGTAACATAATTTCCTGCTTTATACTAATACCGACTTTTTAACAACCTTTTTTTTGTTTTTTGTTCTGTTTTATTTGTAGTTTTTGTTTTTCACTTGCGGGATGCGAAATTTACACCAATATTTGTAAAATTGATCGTTTCGCTTTGATAGTCCGTTTTCCGTTTCCCCATCCACCGATGCTATATAATTTTACTATTCCTTGTTTACAAGGCCTTGTCTTATAAACTAGCGACCTGTTTGAACAGCATTTGACACGCATGAAAATGTATTCTTACATAACTTGAAAAACTCGATCTCCAGCTTTTGTCGAGCTTCGCTCTGGATCGGTGATTTGGGGGACGCCCCCATCGACCGAGCAGTACACTAGTACAACCACAATATACCTTTGAGGGCAGCATAAGCTGGATACGTTTAATTTGTTAATTTTGTTTTGGACACTGTCGAGGGAGTAAATAGAATCACATATTACACTGAATAATGTGTATTCATTTATAATTAGGATAATGAATGTTATGAGGGTACTTGAACCCCCATTCAACTAGTATGTGACGTCATTCTGTCGTATACAATACAGCGATATGGAACAGCGTCGTTGAATCCTCACACTTCCACCTATTGAAAAACAAATAATTGTTCTACCAATAAATCTGAACAAATGAATGGAATACGTTATTAAATTGAATTACCATAGTCAGTGAGCGTAGCAATTGTATAGGGTCGTCGTGTCACGATGTTGAGTATTTTAAGGATGGCAGTCACCATGACCATATTTGGGTTTCATGCGACATGTGAAACACATGTAAAATACGAACGCACACAGTAATACGACTGCCGTCTTCTAACGTTGGACAACATAGCTTGCCCGATGCCTACATTGGTATCGATTTATCTGAAATACGTGCTCGATTAGTTACGTAATATACATGTAATGATTGATAATGTTTAATTGAAGCTAAAACTTTGCCTGGATAGTTTTCAAAAATGTTTTTACAAACATGATCTGTGGTTTCATGTTGAATATATATTGTATATACCTTCTAATCACGTCAGCCATGATATATTACGAAAGAGAAAGAAATACTGCGAATACCCTGATATCGGATCACTTATGCCAGTATTAAGATGACGTCACTATTTGACAAATTAAACGTGAATAGAGTATCTACATCGAAGGGTACCACGCTGGAGATTGAACTATACGTAGGAGTTAACTAGCACAAACATCCACGATGTGTAAGCCCGATGCTAAGAAGTTTTATAAATAATGGTTTGGAGTATTAAAAAAAATAACTTTTTGGCATTTTCACATATTTTATAACAAAACTGATCTGGTATCAGTATAGAGGACGGACGGCAAAAAAACACGTGGTGTAATAAAAACAATCTCGCCGAGCATACCATTATAAATGTTTCTACTGCCCGAGCTGTGCCCTCATCGGGTATATTGAATCTCAAAAAAACGAAGATGTGATAAGGTACATTGCTTTCATTTCACAGTGTTCTCGACACCGTGACTAACATGCACCACTGTACGCAAACTACCAGTACATTAAAATGTATGATTCATTTATCGTTATAATCTGCTTCATTCTATTTACTTTATTGACAATTTCTAATTTAAAGATGCATTATGGACGAAAGCATATGATTTTTAGTATTGTTGTGTGATACTGTACTATTGTTAGATACACAGGTCTATGATTTGTGATGAACTGCAAACGCTGTTCTTGTACATATCTGAGTGTTCTGTTGATGAAACGATAACATTTCTAATATGCATGTGTATTGGTTGTTTTGGTGTGCACACAGCAGTTATCACTGTACGTGACTATATATGGATTACGATTTCAATGCAAATATGGACGAAAACCGATGTATATTTTTTAATATCATTGTTCAACTTGAATAAAATATGAGGCGGACCAAATCGGCCGATGATTGATCTAAAAAATGTTTGCGTTTGCGGGACACATAGAAATATTCGTTAGCTGGAAATCAAATTTAAAACCACTAATACGCATGTGCAATGATTTTATTGTACGTACCAACACACACGGTGCGCATGCACATAACAATGTGGCATTGTTTCTTTGAACGAATACTCAGACGCTTGTCACATGAACAGCGTTTATAATAAACAATAATAGTTAAATGTATTCTTCAACATAATACTAAACATTTTCGCCCATATCGCATATTTGAAAAACACGACTGTTAAAGGTCACCTATCCCCCATGTTATATCCATTGTTTCAGTTCGCTCAATATATCTAAGCATTCTTCGAAAAATGCAGGTAAATATTCATAACAAAAATCGGTTATTATTGACTTTGGTGAAATTATTTAGACAAACCAGGTGAACGCACACTCATAATTTCCACTAAATATGGTGACTAGAGAAACTCTGATTTCTCACGTGACTTAGGTACGTATTTAATTTGGAATTGGAAATCTGTTGAAACCGTTTTGTCTTCTAAAATCGATGCGGGCGCGGTATTTTACTTTTCCAATAATTACTTCATTCGACATCTACACACTTTGTTTCTGTCACGGTGGATATCAATCATTGAAGGTACGATGTCACGTGTTGTTAACAATAGATACTAACAGGCTCTGATTAATTGCAAAACAAGTATGATGTACATGATGACACCTGGAAAACAAAACTGTTTGTAAACAGTACAACGTTAAGCAAGTTGTAGCCGATTGAAACAGAGGTCGTAGCAAAAAAAAATCGTTTCAAATACAAGAGTTTTCTGAACATTTCGTTCATAACTGCAATTGGTTTTCAATACATATCATAACATGTATTTCTACGTACATGCACTGCTTTATATTGAAAAGCAGATGACTATGTTACCCCCTCCATCTACAATAAAAAGTGGGCATTGTCTGTTTCATGGGGGTAATCATGCAAGTCATTTACGACAAGCATTCCTTTATCTGATTCAGTAAGTGGAATGCTGACTTGCAAAAATTTGCTAAATGCATTTTGTTTATCACATTTTGCTCAACATTTACCCCAGAACAATACAAAGGTTATGCTCAATACCGACTGAACTTGACCACGTCATTTTTCTCCGCTCCACCGAGGAGTTTTGCTATAAGTGTAATTCAAGTATACCTGTCAAGTGCATGTAACAATAATCACCGGATACGTGACGATTGAAAGCGTTTGATCGTTTTGTATTACCTACACTACCCACATGTTTTCGATGTGTCACACACGAGACTGTGCTCAAAGGTGAACTACCCGCAGTTTGCTGTTGATACAAGGGTCACGTGATTAGTCATGTCCCAGCCCAACAAATTGTGATTCATGGTACTAGTGTACACTCAGTGATGGCATCGACACTGCAGCAGCGATAACTACGGACATTCCCGTATTCATAAAAAGCATTGCTTGCCGTATTTGATTTACTTTTTATTAACAAAACATCATATCAACTATCATCGAAGACACACAGCACCGCACCGTGATCTGCTGACTGTGTCCTGACTGATTTGTTTCCACTTTTTCACACTTTCTTTTAACGACATAACCAACACTGAAGATCGTGAAAATGGAAAGCAACGGTAGCGCAATGAACGGGAATTTGGCGAAAAGTCAAGAGATTGAACTTTCCGAATCAGACTGGCTATTCAGTAGTCGTCAAACGCAGAAATCGGACGGAGATTCTTTGGACGAGAAGAGCGATAAATATAAAGCATGTATGGGAACCACGATGGGACTTCTAGCCGGTGTCGGCCTTGGCATTTCCGACACGTTCTGTGTGGTATGTTTGTACTACGGCCTGTCCCCAGCACAGGTGTTATTGGTGAAATCATTGATTATGTTAATAGTAGTTATACCGTTACTATTTGTGCATAAAGTAAACATTTTAAAAGTTTCACGAAGAGATGTGACATTGAACGTAATGAAAGGATTGTTCGAGAACGGCGGTGATATTTTTTTCTATTACGCTCTCGCCTGGGCTGGACTCGGCGACGGCACAGCCATCGCAGCTGGAGCCTTCCCCATATTCACGCCGTTAATTGCGTGTGTCTGTGTACGCGAGCGATGTAAACTAACTGACTGCATAACAATTGTAATAAACGTCATCGGTATTATACTCATCTCACGACCAGAATTTATCTTCGGATCTGATCCCGATACTGTTGGGGAACGTAGTGACAAGGCTGCACTGGGGTACGTCATGGCTATTTGTGCCAGTTTTTGTCTTGCGTCCGGAGCTGTTTGTGTGCGTGGAATGAGTAAAGGTTTAGAGTTAGTTGTAGTTATGTTCTTTAATGGTGTATGCGGCCTCGTCATTACGATACCATTGATATATTTCACGAGCGACGCACCCATATTTAAGTTTATATCAATCTATACCGTTTTGTTAGCATTACTAGCAGGAATGGTTGTTTTTTATTTCGTTTACGTGTACTCATTTAATAAAGCTCTAAAACTGCAGAAAGCTGGTAGAGTCGCTCTGCTCTGTAACATACAGGTAGTTGTCGGTTTCGCCGGTGAACTGCTAATATTCAACAACCCACCGACAACGCTGGAACTCGTCGGAGCCGGACTCGTTCTATTAAGTTCGTTCATAGTGACAGTTATATCCTGGTGTGACAGTGACAGTGGCAAGGTGGAACCGGAACCCTTCACGGTGATAGAAAAAGAACACGACTCAGGAGTAGATAGTATTCAACTTGATGAAACACAAGCTTCTATTAATCTAGACAAGAACCGAGAAAAATAGTAATATTCATAGAGAACCAATCATATGCTTAGTTAAATGCTTTACAGAAACAATTCAAGTTGTACTATTATTTCTGTAGGGCGGGATGGTTGAGTCGTACACATTATTTATATCAATCTCTCATATTTGTACTGCGTGAAGTGGACAGAAGTCTTATTACAAGTAGTTGTTTCTGTCTAATATTTTGTTTAGTTTTCTTTGCTGGGGAAGTGACGGAAGAAGGCCTCGTTACGTTGCAAATTGTACCGTCCCCGGCAATACATCGTATATGCTGATTATTCCGAAGATAGATTGTATAACTCACATCCGATGACCCCGTCCATTATTTAAGATGGCGGAGGTACCTGCTACTTTGCAATGTACGCTATATAAGTTACGGTAGCCTCCTTGTCGAACAAAAGGTCGTGTGCTGAACTTGATGAAATCACCGAGAAAAATCAGTGCACTCTGTGTTCAATGCCCATGCAATTAATTTCAGATTATAATGCCGCATTTCCTTTGCCATCTAATTGCTTTATATAAGCACTAAATAATTGTGTAATGTTTGTCTTTGCTAATGGATATTAAATCTGAAATAATTTGAGATTGTCTATTTTATTTTCACTCTCGATCCCAATAAATGTGTTTAACGCGGGGAGTCGTCACCCGTGCATGCTACGTACGACATGCGTCTTCCCATGAACATTTGCGTTTTTAGCGTGCGTCGTTATCGTCGCTTGGGACTCAATTCCCGCGCGTGCGCAGGTGACGACTCTTTCGTTTAAATATGTTCTCAATTACAAGACAGTTTGTTATTCTTATACGCACTCTGTTTTTCTTCTCCGTTGTCGGATTCCTTATTTTCATCAGAAAATAACGACATTCAAACGCCACAGTCACACTTCAGTCCCCCGCATGAAAAGCCCACAACATTTCGCAAACGTGATATTATTTGCTGTCTCATTTACACAAATAAATTAGTTCTGAGTATTTTTCGGCAGTCAAGTGACTACAAATATTTGAAATACAAGATATTTGTTGAAATTGCAAAATCAATCTAAGTGTCTATCAAACTGATTGTGACTATTTGTGATAATTTGAGCTTTCCATGAATGCGAGGTAAACTTTCTGGTCACAGAGTCTTTAGAATTTGTTTTAAGAATATCGAGCGATAGTAATTTACTCCTCTCTGAGGTGTAAGGTGCAGGTTCCTCAGCCTGGAGGTGTCACTTTGTTTTTGAGGATGCGAATGACTTAGGCCGGCGGTTTTAACGTCTAAAAATAACACTTATTTGGAAAAAAATACACAAAAAACAATGTTTACATGCTACCGTTAATAGTACTTGGGTGGCATAAAATGTCAAGAAATGACAATTACAATATTATTTATCCTAAATGCCACCAGTGTTCCTTCTAAACCTTATTTTTCTCAGTCACCCCAGCAAGTTAAAAAAAACGTTCTGTTTAAATAAAAATCCATAAAATTACACCAATAGTTAGTAGAAGTAGCCATTTTAAAACGCGGTGGTCGGCACGCAGCGCGTGTTCGAATTTCATGTAAATAAACAATGTATTTTACACGCTTTGTATACGCCGCTATGAGTCCTATATCGAACAGGACGCGGCGCGACGACTGCCGCCCTTTAATACCGCCAACAGGCAATACTCCAACTACTCTTGAATGAGCTTTAGCGTATGGTATGAGTATTATGAAAAAAAAGTGTTTGGTTATCTAATATTTTCGATTTATTTGAATTGATGGCTTCTGACTATTATATAGCTGCCACGAAATCCTGGTTAAAATGATCATTGCACAATAATTTGTGAGGGCATATACTTTCCAGTCACGTCAACTTTAATTTCTATTTATTTTCCGTGCTTTTGTTTGTTTGTTAATACTTTATTATTATTTTATTTAGCCATCAAGTTTGGTCACTACTATTAGCACACTATGGGGTGTCCAAATTATTAATTGGGTCACATGTGCATGTACCGAACGGAAAACTGAAAATGTCAAAACAAACAGTTGTGACATAATTACATGTAAAGATGTGTTTGGTTGACAGTGAGTCATTACGATGATAACTTACAATGACTGTACAATATAGTATACGGTAAGAAACGGCAATGGCCATGGTTTTACTAAGATAAAACGGTAGTTTTGTAATAAAATTTCAACCACACTACCCCCCCCCCCATAATATGCTTATACTTTCCACATGTACTTATTTAATCCGATTATTAGGTGAAATCCATGTTGAAAAAAACTTTCAGGCAAATAATTAATGCTTAATGAAAATAAAATACTTGATCGTGATCAAGCTAGAGTTTTTGTCATTTTGGACACAGAGACCACTGCTCAACTTGTTGTTATTTCTGTTTATTTAAGTAATTATCATTATTTAAATATGGAAAGAGTGGACACTGCTCATCGGATAGATTTTTTCAATTTACTCATGTATGTATGTGTTCAATAATTTGCATAGTATATCCTTGCTGTATTAGGTAGCATGTTGAGCAATAATTGTGTATAGTTATTGTTGGGTTCTTGGGTGCAGTGAAGGCCGTAACAGGCTAAAGAATACAAGCTCGGTATAAACAACACAACTGGTTTATTACAGTAATGGCGGCGTTCTGATTACGCATGTGCAGATGACGTAATAAAGTACATGTCATTAAATACGACCCAAGCTCAATATACTACATCCCTCCCCATCTAAGTGAATCTCACTCTAGCAGTCTATATTGGGATTTAATATATAATGTTC